GGGGGGGGGCAAAGGGGGTTGAGCAAGTGCAAGGGCCGTCGCAGCCGTTGGGCACGGCCATTTGTTCGACGCGCGAATTGGCGTGCGGCGCGTCGCAAGAAATGCCACACAATGGCAAGCAGGCGTCGCAGTGGGGCTCAGGCCCTGCACCTGTGTGCTGACAGGCGCGCGAATGACCCCGCAGTCAGCCAAGTGACGGCGCTGCCTATCCCATGCATCCACCCGCCCGCTGGCAAGCCGGCCCCTGCCCACCGTCTTAAACTTGCGGTTGCGGGGGTCGTTGCCGGCGCCGCTGCAGTAGGCCCAGTTTCCCCAGTTGGAGGCCGCCTCGCTGTCCAGCAGCAGGCTCTCAAACAGCTCCGCCCCTGGAGCGATGGGGATTGCAAGTGCCGTGGGGGGGGGGGGGCGGATACAAATTTCAATCACAGCAATGTGGGCGCACATGGCGGTCGCATTGGCTGCATGCCTCCGCAACCCACATCCGATGCACACTCACTACCCAACCTCACGCCTCGATCCAGGCGCGGGTGCGCAAAGCCGCTGGCTGCCGCCCCTCCCCGGAATGCCTGGAAGCCGTCTGCATGCGCGCGCATGTGCATGAGCCACTGGCTGCCCTGAGCTCGTGCACCCACCCAGCCGCCAGTCCAGCCCGAGCTCCTTTGACAGAAATGAGGCCGCGTTCTGGCGCCCGCGGTTGCTCATCCACCCCGTCGCCGCCAGCTCGCGCATGCACTGCGCGGAGCACAGGGGCAGGCCAGACAGCTCAGGAAGAGGGCAGCGATTGAAGGGCTGCCTCCAAAACGCTGGCGCTGTGGCCGGCTTGCGGCCTGCGGCTTGCATGTTCAGGCTAGCAGGGCCCGCAGCTGAATCGCAGCAAACGCCACCACATTTGACGATTCAGCTGGAAGGCCGGCCCGAGGTTGGGCAGCACGGCCGTCCCATCTGGGAGCGTGCCGCACCACACAATCAACCCACCATGCCTAGGCCCAAGCTCACCGCGTCAACGAAAGGGAAGCCAGTCCGCCCAGATGCCCACTGCGCGAACACCTCCTCGTCCTGAAGCCACACGGCCGGCCCTTCCTCTGCGGTATCGCTCGCCCCCGCCTGCCGGGCGCCTGCTGTCGCTGGGGGTGGCGCCGCTGCTCCAGCGGCAGTTCCCGTCGTCACCAGGGCGTCACCCGCCTTGAGGGCTGTGTATATGAAAAAGTCTCGAATAACCAGGTGCATCACCAGCCACTCACACCCCTCGGCCGCGCCGCCGCCGCCGCTGCCACCTCCTTTCGAGTGCTTTTTGCTCTTGGCGCCGGGGCCGGCAGCAGCGGCAACGCCAGTGCTGCCGCGCACTGCCTGAGCGCTGGCATTAGCACCCGGTGCATCCGCGTCCTCCCGCTGCTGCTGCTGCTGCTGCTGCTGCTGCTGCTGCTGCTGCTGCTGCTGCTGCTGGACTGCCCTGACCTCGGACTCCACCTGCCTTGGCGATATGCATCCCAGCGCCAGGAAGGGCGACAGCTTGGTGGACGCGTCCAGCCCAGACGCCATCATCCTTTGGGGGGCGCAGCGCGGACGGTGTGGGCGGCGGCGTGTGGGTGAAGGTGGTGTTGAGGTGTGTGGGCTGGTGGGCAGGTGAGCAGGTGGGCGTGCTTGCAGCACTCAAGTTGTTGCAATATGCCTAGGCGGGGATCTGGATCTGTGTGTCCTGGGGTGTTGATGGGTGGTCAGGTGCTGGAATCGCGATGATCATTGTGTGCAGGGGGAACAGCACACAGGGGCCGCCTTTGTGTGTGCATGCGCTTGTGCAGGCGTAGGCAGCATTGGGTGCGTGAGCTTGGCGTCATCCAGTCGACATGGGGGAAGGTGATGACGGGAGCATCGTCAGCAGGCACGCTGCGCAGCGGCCCTCCTGCGCAGCGCCCTGCACTGGGAGGGCATTGCGTCGTGCCCCGTCACGGGGCGCACCCCCGCCGCACCTGGCCTCGCCATACCCTTCCAAGGGGCCCGCCCCGCCGCTGCCCGCGCCCGCCTGCATGCCTTCAGCACTCAAGAAGGCCCGCAGCCGCGCCGTGGCGGCCGCCTCGCCGCCGCGAAATGGGAACCCGCTCGCCGGGTGCGGCGCGTCACCTGCATGGGAGGGCGCCGGCTCGCCTGGCGGCGCGAGCCCAGGAGCTTTGGTCAGCGCAGCTAAACGCCGCAGCGCTGCAGCTGCCTCGGGACCGGCGCTCTCATACAGTGCGAGAACATCCGCAGGCAGCGGCGCAAGCAGGTCGTCTGCGCCGCCGCCGCCGCCGCCGCCGCCGCCGAGCGGGGTCGCCGGCATGGGCGGCGGCGGCGGCAGCGAGGAGGGCGCCGGCAGCGGCGGCCGCACGGCGCTGAGCGCCTGCACTGCGCGGCGGAAGTCGGTCATCACAGGGGGCAGCTGCCGGTAGCGCCCTGTTTCTGCGTTGGGCGGCGGCCCGCACGCATTGCTCCCGCCGCCGCCGCCGCCGCCTTCCTCCTCCTTGTGCTGCTGCTGCTGCGGCTGCTGCTGCTGCGGCAGTCGGCGTTGCGTCGCACCGCCGCCGCCAGCGAGCGCAGCTCGGCTGACGCCGCTGCCGCAGAATGCCGAGTAGGGCAGGTCATCCGGATGGTACAGCGTGGCCCCCCAAACCCCAGACACCGACGGCTCTAAGCCCAGGGCGAGCGCCTCCCTCTCAAAAGCCTCTGCGGCCGCCGCCTCCTGAGCAAGCATTGCGCGCGTCGCTGCTGGCGCGTGGTGCAGCAGCAGCGCGGCGCGCGACACGCCAGCGGCGCGCAGGGGGGCCGCTAGGGTGCGCAGGGCGGCGGGGATAGCGTCGGCGGGGGGCGCGGCGCAAAAGGCGAGGCAGCTGCCCAGTGCTGACAGGTCTGCGCGCAGGCTGTGCGCCGCCTCCAGCAGTAGCCTGTGTGGGCAGAAGAGTGGAGCGAGCGTGACACAAGTGCGCATACCATGCTGCGTGAGGGCCAGCACTTGGGGGGCGTTTTGCACTTTGGGGTCGGGAGGCAGCGCGAAGGCAGCAAGCCCCTGTAGCAGCAGCAACAGCAGCGGCGGCAGCAGTAAGCAAAGGATCTGTCCCTGGACAGTCCTGCCACTCACCTGCATCTGTGCGGGCCTATCATGGGCACGCCGGCGCCCTCCGCGCCCCGCCTGGGCCCGAGCTCAGATGGGTCCAGGCAGAGCAGTGGCAGCAGAAACCGGACATGCGGCGCAGCCGCAGCAGTCAGGGCCTCGTTGTCCGCCAGCCGCATGTCGCCGGGCCGCACCCACCACAATGCGAGCGTGTCTGCCTGCTGTGGTGCCCCTGCATGTGCGGCGCGAGCTGTGGCGGCGCAGGCAACCGGGCCAGAAGTCAGCCGCTGCATCTGATTAGGCCGACAGATGCGCGATGATCCTGTGATGCGATGCTGGATCCGCATGTCAAGCTACACGTGAAAAAAGCGGGTTCTTGCACCAGGGGATGGTGTGGACCGATCTACAGTAGGCTGTCAGCAATCCTGTCCATCACGAATAAGACTATATTCATAGTGCAGACCTGATCAACAAGCGACGCCCATTGACAGTGCGCAAACTCGGCACCCGTGTCACTCAAGAGGGTGCTGCAAGTGACCAGCCACCAGACACTGCCTTGAACATATTTCGCAGGGGAGCTTCCTGCTGGGCTGGTGAGGAGCGCAAGACCCAGTGCAACTATTGAACACAGAGTTTGTACACGTGTACGGCGCTATTTCGCATGGACCCAACATGGGCTGATCCTGCGTTCCATGTCGACACATGGAATGACATCAAGTAGAGCTGCAATGGCCTCGGTCATCCCTGAAACACCGTCACGGCTGGACGTTGCTTGCGCCAGTCATACGGCAAAGTTTACAAGGCAGGCAGCGATCTCCAGCCAACCCCAGCTAACTCTGCAGCCCAACCCCCTGCCCTCAAGAGGCTTACTTGAGTTACGGGAAACCCATGAAATAGAACATCGCATGCTTACTTTTGCCTCTGGTGCCGGGGGTTACACTTTGACCAAGTTGATCCCTCGCTTCGCCCTCCTCAGCAGTTTTTTGTGGTCCAGCCAGAATAAATCCTGTGCAGTACTGATGGCTTGTCGGGTCGCTTCTTTTACGGATTTTACAGATATGTGCGCGCTGCTCAGCCTGTGCCTGAGCTGACCGCTGCGACTCCCACGCTCTGATTGCACAGCCAATAATAGCCTTGCATAAAAAAGCCTCGACCTGCTGTTTTGCGCTGGGGCGCAAGGGGGCTGCTTCACTTGCACGCTGGACCAAACTCGATTCAAGGGAGCAGGAAATTCTGCAGCGCTCACCCGCCCAATGAACACCTGGCCTCACCAGCAGCCCAAACTCATTTATACCAGACGTGGGTCAGAGCTCCACCAGGAACAAAAACCCAACTAGATCAGTGCTGCTGCCTGCGCCTGAGCACCTTGCGGAAGCTGCTCTTGGCCTGCTTCCTGAACAGGCGCATCGCGTCCCAATCAATGCCCACTCTCAGAATGTCCAATGCGGGACCCCCCAGGATGACGTCATATCCTTTGCTGCCCTGGCCCTGCTTGATTGGCGCCAAGACTCTGATCTTCAACTCGTCCCCCATGGCTGCATTGGCACCAGCCTTGCCTGTGGTGCTCCGCCCTCTGTTGCCAGGAGCTGACGACGTGGCGCTGCCACTGCTGCCGGCGCACATGCCACCACCTGCTGTGCCCTCGTTATCGTTGCTGCAGCGGCCACTTGTGCCCTCGTCCGCCCAGACCTCCAGGTACATCGAGCGCCATGGATCCTCGACTCCCTCGTCTCCCTCACCCTCCAACAGCAGCGTGGTCAGCACTGAGCCCCTGTGGTATGTAGGACAGGATGGGATGGGATGGGACAAGATATGATATGAGGGGGGAGGGGGTGCAATCTGGGGTGCAATTTGAGGTGAACCAGTTGTTGGCAAGCATCATGCACCAAGTTGGGATTTGATGATAAAAAGGCGGGGCGCAACACCACACCGGCTCTCCTTTGGGCCTTAACTTGTGTTGCCATATAGTGTTGCCATATCAGCGAATGCATTACTTTCTTAGACCGTACTGAGGCACTGGAGAAAAGCTGAAAAATGCTGTCACCGCTTCATTCATTCTGTGCCATCCCACCTAGCCGCTTCACATTTCAATCACACTTGGGATACATACAGCACCCCCGCCCAGTGCTGGCTGGCCGGCCACCCCCAGACTCACTCAACCCCATGGGCAGGTGAAGCACGACCCAAACAGCACCACTGGAACAATGACATGAGAGGGCATCGTGATGCGCACCTGCGCGTGACGCGGCCTCTGTGCCCTTGGCCGATGTCCAAGGCTGCCGAGAAGCCATCGGGGGCCAGACCCAGTCGGTCGGCCATGTACTCCGAGATCCTCAAAGGCAGATGGCAGCCCGTGCCCACCAGGAGCAATGCCGGCAGCTGTGTCCCGTCACGCTCCAGCAGCACATCCAGGTAGAGGCCGTCCTCGTGCTGGCTGCCCGAATGAGACACTGCTAGGCAAGTGCAGCATGCAGGCAGCGCGTCACTGCCAGCCAAGCTGCCATGCAAAATGAGGAGTGCCGTGAAGCATCCCAGAATCCTTAAGCCAGGGCCCTGTGAGCACGCAACCTCACCTGCTGGGCCCCTGTACTGTGAGACTGGCATCACCGCTGGCGGATCCATGGCCGGCTGCGCACGCTGCGTCGTGCAATGCGTGGCAGGCAGCACACTTACGCGTGAACGCTCGACCTGGCATGGTAGTCAGCATTGCATGAAGCCAGCATCAGGCTGAGGGGCAGCACTGCAGCCCTCAGGAGGCACTGCGTGCAGCCGGCAGCTGCTCCTTGCAGGCGCGCGTGCATTGGTGCTGAGGGTTGCTTGGTAGCTAGCTGCCAAGCAGGGCCCACAGCCAGCCAACGCACCCACCGGGCAGCCTCAGCCAGTCGGCAGCCTGCAACGTCTTATGAGGCAGCCTGCTATGCCAGGGATACCTCAGGTTGATTTAAGAAGGCCAGGATGAGCTCCCCACAGGAGTCCACATAACCCAACCGCGTGTGCCTGTAGCCTGCTCCCAGGCCGTCAGCAGCATCATGTAATCTCCGCAAAGGCTTTTGCAGTGCGCATCCTAGTGATTCATGTGCGTGCAGGTGCGTGCTCACCCGCAAAAAAGGATGGGCCCTTCGGATTACGTATTAGCTAATATTACACGACGACAGGGCGTTGTCCGCTCCTTGAATAGATAATTTTGAGTTCCTACGGCACGCTAGAAACACTGGCACGGCTCAGAAGGCAGCAAATGATCTCATCGTGCGCCAGAGGGCGGCAGCACAGCGCAGAGATGCCAAAACTGACATTTGTAATCCGCGGGTGGATTTGGCTGCAGTTGCAATGGCGTGTACTTCCAGGAATGCCCTGCATTTCCTGCTTCTGTCGCAGCAGTGACACTTTCAATTGCCACTGCTACAACCAGGTGGAAGCTTTGCAGACTGTGCTTGGAGCAACAAATGAAAGTATATCACAAGTATTATGGAGTAGTAGTCGGCCGTCACCGTCTCACCGTGAGCAGTGGCAAGGAACATCATTTCAACAGCAGAGTGGGCGTGGGCAGATCAATTCATCGCACGAGGGCTGCCTGACAGTAGCCGGCCCCCCTGAAATTGCGTGTACACAACATAGAATCCATTAACTCTATGTACCACTATGTACTTCAGCGTGCATAAAGTCAAGTTTTGCGGGCCTGCTGTGGCCCCGACGGTCTGGCGGCAGGGCCGCTTGGTGGCGGGCACGTTGCTGCGTGAACCGAAAGGGGGGCATTGTACAGGCAGTGTCAAATTTGGTTTTGAATCACAGCTGTAAGCAAAATCAATCGAATGTCTGTAATTAAGTTGTTGGCCAATCGGTTGCAGTCTTCTGGAGGGTGACGGCTGCATCCAACTGGCCCGACAGACACCCGAGGGCTGTGTAAGACACTGCTGGATTCTGCGTGTTCAGCCACGGGCGGAAACCAGGCGAATTTTGGCACCGAGGCGATGGTCAAGTCAAATGTAGGCTGTCACCGCTAGGATCGCTGTGTGCTGATCCTGCGTTCCAAGTCAACACGTGGGACGACAGCACAGAGTGCTGCGGCAGCCTCGATCAACACTCGAAGGCCGCCACAGCCGGCCCACACAACCCACCTGCGCCTTGCACCCGCCCCAGCGCGCCGCGCCGCGGACGCTGACTCTGGCCCCTTCTGGCCGTTGAAACCAGTCGTACGCCACTCCGTTACAAGTAAGCTGATGCCCATCCACAAAGGTTGGGCGTCGTGATGCCTGGCAGCCAGCCAAACAGGCAACGCGGATTAGAGAACAAAATTCATGACGTCAAAAGATCCCATGGGAACGCAAGATGCGGATGAGGCGCCACCGCTGCCCGCGCTGCCGGCGCACGCCTTACAACCCGGTGTAGCCGCCGTAGCCGCCATAGCCGCCGTCCGCAGGCGTCCTCGATACGAAGAAGACGAGGCCGCTGGCCAAGATGCAGCTGACCTGGAATATGCCGGCCACCCCCGGCCACACCTCCCCCTTCATCTCCGGGTTCATGGCTGGAAGGGGGAGGGGTGATGACGTAGGTGCGGGGTGGGGGTGGGGCGAGGAGGGGTCGTTTCAAATGTGAGGGAGGAGGGAGCCGGCAAAAGAGAAGTCGGGCGTCGTGGATCGAGGGCGGGGGGCCTTCGCAGCTGCGATCAGGAGCGCCCTCGGCATACCCATAATGCGCCGCATGTGTGCGCGGGGCCGTGGACGCGCACCATAGTGCTGAGTCAGCACCCAGACCGCGCCGACCAGCGATGCAAAGGACACCACGTAAGACAGGAACAGCCAGAAGCGGCTGCGGCAGAAGCCGCCGTCGTCAAAGGGGTCGTAGTCTGCGCGTCGCAGCACGAGATTGAGACGAGGGATGGTGATATGAAGGGGCAGAGGGGAAAAAAAGAAGTGGGGGCTGGGTCGCGCACGGCGCACCAGGGCGCTGGCTGTGTGTTGAGCTTGCAGAGGACCGCACCAGTTATCAGAGGCGCGAACCCAAAAAAGCAGTATCAATGGTGTCAGAAGAGGACCCACAACGAACACAAACTCACTTCCAAACATGTGCAGGTCTCTGAAGCCCGCACGCATGCAAGCACATCGGGCGCATATAAATACACGCGCGCGCACACGCAAACACACACCCTCACACTCAAACATGCAGACACCCACACACACGTGCGCGTGTGTGTTGACACAGGCCTGCTCACCCTGCAGCTCGTCCCGCCGAACCATGTTGATCATCACCAGCGCCACGGTGGCCACAGTGCCTGGGATGTACTGCAAACATGAAATGGAGTTTGCTCCGCGTAAGACAAGCGGTCGGTGTGCTTCAGCCTCAGCCGCCGTGGCCGAGGAGTCCACGCAGGCTTGTGGGAAGCTGCACAGAAGCTGCTGCTGCGCCAGACCGCCGGCGGCTCGCCCTGCTGGATCAGTGGACCCCTGCCCACCTGGTCGAATGGGATGGTGCGCGTGTTGCAGGCCACCGCATCGACCCAGAACCACCAGCCTGCACCAAAGAGCGCCCCAGATAAGATAGGGCCGTATGACTTGGCCTGCGATTCGCGGGTGCGTCGGCAGAGCGGACCGTGTCAGCGGAGGCGGCGCCAGCAGTGATATGGATTGCTTCGTCGCGGCTGCAGGGTCTGCACCCGGAGAGTGCCGCAGCAGTGAAAGCAGGCCGCCTCCTACGCGCCAAACAAAAGACGCCATCTGCGCACAGCAAGCCGCGTGCAGATGGCAACGGGCGGCCCCGCACCTTCTCCTCCCAGAACTGTGGGTGCGAGCAGGAATCAAAGCGGAGGTTATGGGTGAGGAAACAATGCTGCAGATGAGACAGGCCCACGGCCCACACACAATCGCTGCCCTGCTGCGCATGCTCCCACGATCACCCTTGTAAGTCGGCCGCATGCCACCCACCTGCACCACGTATGGGGGTATGAGCAGGGCAATGACCTCACAGAGAGGCCACCCCCGCAGACACATGGCCGCTACTAGCGCGGTCTATGGCCGTGCTTGGTCGCCGCTCCTCGCCCCAACGGCGCTTTGTGCCGCTGCTCGGGTCCCGCCCGACGCCACACGGACCCTTCAGCTGCGCCTTGACCTGCTACGTCGCAACTGTATATGTATAAGGCCCGCTACGGCCTGCGATGCACGTCCAAACGGCTGTCTTGCTGCGACAGTATGGTTGTGGCCTGATCTGATGGTTGGTGGGTCTGAGTGACGTTGCTATGATTCAATGTGAGGTTGTTGTTACGCTTCCAGTTACACCAGGCTATAGGCTTGAAGCACTTCACACACCGTCTGCACACGCTGCTCGCAGTCACCCGGCCACATAGTTCAGCAGAGTGAAACTTGCATCGTATATGAATCGGGTACAATTGATTGTGCTTGGTGCTTTTTCGGTGTCCAACAGTGCACAGATCGTCCAGCTCACCGAGGCGCGCTCTTCCTCCGCATAGAACGCGCCTGCAAGTAGGCGCTTGGGTGTGAAAACAAGCACAATTAACGCTTTTTGCGCCTCCGGTGGCTGGGCGTGGAGAGCCCGCACACCTGCACCGGCGGCTAGCAGCTGCACCGGAGCACTCGCTCCCCGCCGCTCGCGCTGCGCCCCCGGCCCAGCCCCGTGCTTCGCGGCGCGGCCCCGCCGCCGCACGGCAGCCTGCGTCATGGCGGCCGCCGTGGACGTCCTAAAGAGTCCCAGCGACCGCAAGTCATATCGTTATTTGAAGCTTGAAAATGGGATGTCGGTGCTGCTGATACACGACCCGGAAATCAAAGAGCAGGGCGCCGCCCAAGGAGCCGGCGGCATGGAGGTGCGCGGCCCGCCACTGCGGATCGCAGAGGGGGCACCGCTTGGCATAGCATCCTCAGCCTGACAGCGCCGCTTCTGCTCCGGCTGACTGCCATGCAGCGATGTGCCCAGGAGGGGGGAGGGGCGCACCAGCAACTGTCAGGTTGGCGCTGCCATGTCGGCGTGCATGGCCCTCGATGTCCCTCGACCTCACAGCCGCGGCTGGTTCAATGTCATACCTACAATCATCGCGACGCAGGGCTCCGACATGGAGACGGACGAGGGGGCGGCCGCCGGCAGCGGCAGCGGCGAATGGGAGACGCTGAGCAGCAGCGGCGAGGGCGGGACCGGCGAGGGTGAGGACGAAGAGGAGGACGAGGAGGAGGACGAGGGCGAAGATGAGGATGAGGATGAGGGCATGGGTTCTGGCAGCGACGAGGGGGAGGAGGGCAGCGGCAGCGAGGGCAGCTCCGACGAGGGGGAAGACGGCGATGGCGGCGGCCGCGGGCGCGGGGGCAAAAAGAAGGCCGCCACCGAGGCCCCCGGCGCGAGCAAGAAGGCGGCGGCCGCGATGGCGGTCGGCGTGGGCAGCTTCAGCGACCCGCGGGAGGTGCAGGGGCTGAGCCACTACCTGGAGCATATGCTGTTCATGGGCAGCGAGGCGTTCCCGGATGAGAACGAGTATGATGCGTTTTTATCGAAGCACGGCGGCAGCTCTAACGCCTACACGGAATTGGTGGGTGCAAGATGGGCCGTGGGCTGGGGCATGGATTGGTTTGCAGTGCGGTGTGTGTATAAGCAGACTGTGGGCGTGAGTTCTTTATTTTTGTGTGTGTGTGTTGTCGTGTGTGTATGTTGAGTGAGTGAGTGTATGCGCGCGCACGCACGCGCGCGCGCGCGTGCGTGTGTGTTTGTGTGTGTGTGTGTGTGTATGTGTGTGTGTGTGTGTGTGTGTGTGTGTGTGTGTGTGTGTGTGTGT